CAAAACAGTCTCCTTAAGGATGAAGTAAGGAAGCTGAGAGAGCTCTAGTTAATGAGAGAACACGTAGGAAACGAGGTAAGCTCTACCCCTACAGGAGGCTGAGGAGTATCATGGTGGAGCTGTATTCTGGTCTCCAAGGAAGGTGAAGGAGGCGCGCGATCGCCTACAACTCCAGGAGGAGGAGGAGGAGCAACTGCAACTCCAAAAGGCTGATACGAGAAGACAGCGTGAGGAGACAAGGCAGGTTAGGGCGAGGGAGAAGGAGCAGAGGCGTCAGGCGAGGCTTGCAGTAAGTCTAATGAGGCAGAAGGAGAGGGAGGAGAAGGCTATTGAAAAGGCCTCAAGGATCGCGGCTCGCAAGGCTGCAAAACAACTTCAAAAAGCTATTAAAACTTCTCAAAGGGGTAGGAGAAGGAGCTTCATGGCTCCTGCAAAGGCTACTCAAAAAAAGAAGCCTATCGCGAGGCCTCAAGGTGGTGAGGAGCCTCAGGGAGGTGCTGCAAGCTCACCACCTCCAACCTCGCGTCGCGGCCGCGCGATTAGAACTCCGTCTCGATTTCTATAGCTGTATATATATATTAAAGCCTATTGATCTCACCACCAAAATATATCGTGATAATATCTATTTGGTGTGGCTCTATAGCCTCGTTTTTAAGGTAGTTTTGGTGAGGCCGCGCGCGCACTTTGTGGTGGGGCTAGTAATGACCCAGGACGCGCAATGACCCACCCCACTAAACTCAACACCTACACAAAATACCTTATAACTCCACCAATATAGACCCAATTCAGGAAGCGATTGAAGAATTTAAATCGCGCGAACTAGGCGCATCTTTTAGCTATCGCCAAGTTACAAAAAGGTTTAGCATTAGCTATCGTACGCTCGCTCGAAGACACTAAGGCAAAACTCAGCCTCGCGCGCTCGCCCACCTCTCTATCTACCTACAACGCGAAAAGAAGCTTGTACAGTACATTAAATCCCTTACTAAGAGGCGTACACCACCTTCGCGTCCAATAATACGCCATCTTGCGTCATTCTTGCTTAGTAGAGACGTTTCAGAACGCTGGGTTTCTAGGTTCCTCTGCAGGAACTCCTCTCATCTCATCTCTCGCTGGCAGAGTCCTATAGACTAGAAGCGTCACAAGGCTGATTTAGCAACTAAGTATAGGTTGTACTTTAAGCTGTTACACAATAAGATGAAGGAGTACAATATACAGCCCTCTTACATCTTTAATATGGATAAAAAGGGCTTCTTACTTAGAATCCTTAGAAGGTCTAAAAGGATCTTTAGTAAGAGGCAATATGAAATAGGAGGAGTTGTTTTAAGCCTACAAGATGGCTCTAGAGAGTGGATTACAGTCCTAGCCTGTATCTGCTTAGATGGTACACCTCTTTCTCTATCTCTTATCTTTTAGTCAGATGCTAGAGCTCTAAAATCAGCCTAGGTAGAGGCTATTAATCCAAATAAGCACTTAGTCTTTGTTACCTCATCGCCCTCTAGATGGACTAACAATGATATAGGCCTAGCTTGGCTTAAAGAGGTCTTTGAAAGAGAGACTATATGCTACGCTTAAACTGGGTACTAGTTACTTATTGTTGATGGCCACTTATCTCATGTAACTATAGATTTTCTAGATTATTGCAATAGCTATAGGATTCTAGTTGCTGTATATCCTCCTTATTCAACCTATAGGCTTCAGCCTCTTAACGTTGGGATGTTTAGGCCTCTAGCGTCAGCCTACTCAAAGGAGTTGTCAAACTTCCTCTATTGGAGCCATGGAATCCTTCCTCTAGCAAAAGGAGACTTCTTTAAGCTCTTTAGAGGGCTTGGGGTACAGCTTTTAGAAAGGAGACTATTATAAGCTCCTTTAAGGCAACTGGCATTAACCCACTAAATGCTAAGGTTATTCTCTAAAAGTTCCAACAAGAGGCCTCTAGTTCAGATGAAAGCTCTTCTTCTGTCCTTAGTGGAGATAATTAGCTCAAAATTGAGTCTATTATACGCCGGGAGGTGAAGGATTTTAATAATAAGGAGGTAAAAAAGCTTCGCCGAAGCCTCCATCACCTCTCAGCTCAAAATAGTATACTCAAAGGAGAAAACTAGGGCTTAAGGGAGGCTCTAAAGGTTAAAAAGAGACACTAAAAGAAGAGCTACACGCTTCAACTCAATAGGCCTGAGGAGTACCATAGAGGAGCTGTCTTTTGGTCTCCTAAGAAGGTTCGCCAAGCCAAAAAGGATAAGATAGAACGACAACAAGAACAACAGCAATTACAACTCTAGAAAGCTAAGAGATCTAAGTTAAGGAGACAAGCTCAATTGTACAAGCTTCAAATAGCCCAGGAGAAGCGTGTTGAGAGAGAGAGGCTCAAGGAGGTGAGAGAGAAGGAGAGAGCCGCCAAGGTGGCTCAAAAGGAGGCTCAAAAGGCAGCCCAGGAGGCTGAAAAAGCTATACAATTATCCCAAAGGGGTAAGCGCAAAGCCTCACAAGGCTCTTCTCAAAAGCAGAAGCGTCAGAAACGTGTTGTTGTTGATTCATCTCATGTACAAGCTGAGGTGGCTGTACTAGCCGTCCTAACTTAGACCACCCGCTATGGCCGCACCACCAAGCTACTAAGTAGATACAAGTACCCTATTATAATCGCAATGCTATAATTACTACAACACTATAAAATCTCGTGATAATAGCGACTATAGGTGGCTGTACAGCCTCATCTTTTGCGATAGGTTTTTTAGTGGGGTGGGTCATTGCGCGTCCATGCAGGTTACTGGCTATGTGTATCCTTGCACCATCTACTGTGTCCGTGCGCCCTGCCGTTTCCCTTCCCTTTCCCCTGTCCTGCTGCTCACGCCTCTCATAAGTCACCAAACCTAAGTCACCCCCTCTTGCCATCCATATCAAACAACCAACGGCTCAACAGTCAAATTTGGGCAGTCATTCTCCATACACCACCATCCGGGCGAGCGACTGCCTGGCGTCCTATCACTGCACCCCAACTGCTACTACCGCTACCACTTCTACCAACACTGCCAATACCCTGCACCCAGCTGGAAAATACGGAGCGCTGCCACGCGGGCTAAGGCAGGCCTCGGGCACTTAAGTACCGCAAAGCCCTGGCCTCGCCGACTCATGGGTTCGTCTAAACTCCAACTTCTCCAAACCGTGACCAACATCCTCGCAATCCTGCCTGACGAGCATTGAGCCCACGAGCTCTGGTGGCAACTTACCATGGCCTGCCAGCGACGTCGTCAGCCAACGCTCAACGCTATTGCCAACGCCTCTGACCCCGACGAGAGCAAACGCGTGGCTAACGGCCTCGCACAGCGCAAGTTTCGCCGCCAGCGGAGGGATTACATCGCCCATCTCGAGCAAGAGCTGGCTCTCTGCCGCGAGAGTGCTACCGGAGAGCTCGTTCACCGCCGCCAAGAGATTGCACGGCTCAATCAGGAAAAGACGGAGCTCCGCGACCTCGAAAATGTCTTTCACCCTGGCCTGCGTCTGTAGTGTGCAAATCTCAGTCGGCAAATGCTTGGATCCAGCGACCTCTCACAGCAGCGACTCTCATGATGATGAACAGCCACAGTCTTCACCTCCTATTGCCGCCGCCACTGCAGTGACTCCTATAGGGACTTGGGGACATCAATCCCAGGTAGGCCAGACCATCATACCCATCCAAAGTATCCCGGCGACTGGCTGCCCCCTCGGCTGCACCAGCCGCCACAATGGATCTGACAAGTCGCAAATCATGGCCATCATGCTGCAATGTCGTGTTGAGGAGGTTGTAGATCCATGTATCCGCCTTTACCAAGGACAGCTACAGGGACAGGCGCAGACACAATTACTACAGGTTCTCGAGACCACACTTGTTGACGGACTCACTGAAGCCATCCTGTCGCTTCAGACGTTGGCTTTCACGCTTCTGGGAATCCGTACCATGTGTTTGACAGGCGGCATCACCTGGATCGTGTGGCAGATGACCAAAACGTTGTGGGTGCTTCCTCGTCTGACCGATGCCGGCATTCTCGCTTGCGTCACCGAGAATGGCTACAGCTCGGACATGTTTCGTGACACAATGCCTGACTGGCTACGACCAATAGATATCCAAAAGACGTTTGAGTGAGTAAAACCCGCACATAAAGCGGACCGAGCCACTGGAAAACACGTCTCTCCGCCCCTAGGCACCACCCAGCCATCGATTTCATCCCATCCCCCCCGCTGCGCGAGGCTCTCGTCATGCATCAGGATAACGTGGCCATCGATAATGTTTCTGTGAACCTCATCTCACGGGTGCGTGCAATACCGTCGATTTGATCAATGGACGCTAATATCCTCCATCCGTAGGCAATGCCGACTGGTGCAGACATAGACCGCCGTATCGACCCTACAACCACACCTGTTCTCAACAGCCTCCGCGCACAATTTTAGTCAAGCTAGGACAGGCTTCCACGTGATAATTTCTATGACTCCCATTCCTTGTTTCATTTGGCCAAGTCCTGCAGGCAGGCCCAACCCAGCTGCACCTCTCTTCTCGTGGACAACATGATGGCTGATCAGTCCCCGCTGCTGCTAGCACGAAACAGCAATGTCTAGGCAACTAAAAGTAGACCATTCGGCGATTTTCTCCCATATTATCTGACACGTGGCAGAATTGAAGTGCTGGTGCTCCAGCTCTGTTTGCAGACCCTCAATGAGGCTGGTGACGGTAGCTTTGTAGGCTGAGGAGTCACACATGCGCATGACGGTCAAGAAGGCAGTGAGCGACGAGTTGATGAGTACTTGGCCACAGCCAGTAGCCATCCTGCCTGAGAGAAAAGATCGAATACAGCAAAGCAAACCTAAGATGCTGTTGTCGAAAGTGAGGAGGAGGTCGTCGTCGTCGCACCCGGGAGGTGAGTGATGTTGACAGTTGTCTCTTGCACACTCGAGGCCTCGCCCACATCACACCCGATGTGCGTGATCCCCGTTATGTGAGAGATTGACGGCCCTATGAGTCTAGTTGCGGTTGGTGCTGAGAATCCACGCCGCTGCGGCCCACTCCGTGGCCCATCTCAGACGGAAGGACATCACTCCAACCCACTTCGCTGAGGGGAGCTTGGATTTGAGTACTAGCGGACTTGATTCCTGGCCAGAGAGGAGGAAGTTACCAAGGAGTAGTAGTAAGTTGGCCGGATGGAGGATGTGGTCCCGATAAGGATGGTTAGTAAAGATCTGAGGCTGACTTTCTTTGACTTCCACTTCGCGCCGCAAGACATTATGCAAAGACAGTAGTATATACCCAAATGCATTTCAAGAGTATATTTCCAGGCCGAATAAAGTGTTTCGTGCTACATTTCACCGTGGTCCGATTAGTTCTTTGCTTGAAGTCACCATGCTGACTTGGTTTGGCTTGGAATTGTTTCCTCGATTGGTATTATATCCTATAAGTATGCACTAGCTAAACGTTAAGGAGTTCGTATACCGCAAGAAAAAAAAGACTCGCCCGCATCATCAGCCGTGTAATGTTCGCCATTGACACTACATAAAGAGAACGAGGAAAGTGAAATTCAACTGAAAAACCTTGAGATGCTGTCCTGGCTGGCGGAGTCCTATTTCTAGGGCATGGAGGGCTGTAAGTTTCGACGAGATCGGGAAATTCAGCATGTACAACTGCGATAACTGCGACACTGAATCAATGAGAGCGATTACACACTTGCATGCGGCAGAAAGCTGCTATAACTCGTTCGTCTATTCCACTTATGAGACAATCGGCCATTTCTCAGCCGCAAGTAGTATCAAGAAGATTTACTATATTGTGGGAGATACAGGACTATCAAGGAGGAATCTCAGCGTAACCTACAAGCTTGTAATAAAGGAGAACGCCATACTTATCGAAATCTACATTCTCTCACTTTCTCCGTGACTACTGGACTGATACTCTCTAATATTGACACAGGACAGATCACTTTTCATCGAGGTTGAAAACCCCACCACCACCACCCAAACAGTACATGCACTGTCGCCAAGGTGCTGCTGAACCACCAAGTAGCGTCTCTGTACTGCCTGTACCCCTGCAAGGCCAACTAGGTTTACAAGTTTTACAAAATGTACGGAATTAACCCTCCTCACCATACTCGAATTGAAAGACACCAACGAGGGAGGGGACGAAACTCGTTCACGCACCTGGTCATTCCCAACCTGATCAGTGTAGTAATAGAATATGGCCCTCGACAAGGATGGATAGTGGACCAGCAGGTCGAAGCTGTGAGGCGCAGGCAAGATGAATCCGGGCTGAAACAGTGGCTCTCTTGCTACATTTTACTCTGTCTTTGAAGGACTTCGCAGCGTTTAATACTCCAGACTCATTGCTAACACAGTGAGCAAGCTAGTGAAGGAGGACGAGAGCTTGAAGTGGACAACCTGGAGCTGATACTCTTTCATGGTACAAAAAAACTGAGCTTGAACTAGCATCAGACCACGCAGAGCAGACAGCATTAACTGGAGGAGTCTGTCGATTTACCGGACCTTCTGGTCATGATTCGACCGATAACAACCATGTTTGGAGCGCTTAACGCTCATGAATACCAAGGCTTTGCTCACAGAGTTGAAATCGAGTAGTTGATTTGGTAACTCTGTTCTATTATGACTATTAAGTAATGGAAAACCATGGAATATTATTTTTCAAGAATCTTGAATCATTCACATGAAAAGCAACACTCTTGCTGCTGAATACGGTTTGAGCAGGTACTTTGAATTAGTTGCCTAGAACAAGTTGGCATGTACTGTCCAAGAGTAGCATCATAAAACTGTACGTGCCTAATCGATCATCCGGTCACCAAGCATGTGGTAAACAAACTGTGGAAGAGTAATAAGAGTTACTGTAAGCAGTTGAGGGTGTAGGAAGTATTGTGTATTCCGATGTGTATCATGATAGGAGCAAGTTTAAATACGGTGTTATTAGTCAGTGGGCAACCACGTGACCATACATGGTACTTCTGGGCTTACAGTTACATTGAAAAGTTCACATGTCCACGTGGACAAGGTTCTGACTGCCAAGATCGGCAATGGCCCGATAATCATCACTTGAATATGTCAGTATTGGGTACGGAAAGCACTTTGGCCGAGGTCCGCGATATTTTCTCGCAGTGGCGGAATTCTAATCACTACGAAGGAGCTCGTATTTTGTGTGTCCCCACCTATCATGCGCGTGTCTAGATTCTCATCACCATCTACCAACAACTACATGATATCATATACTAAATACACGTCCCAGTAGCTTTCTGAAGCGAAAATATCTAAAGTGCTTTTTGAAATCAATCAAAATTATCTTTGTTACATTGTGGCGTTGTTATTTGATACTGGTGTGCGGCTAGATGGGGACACATTAAATACGAGCTCCTTCGTAGTTATGACACAGACATGGGTCTCCCATCCCAAAGGCTCTGGTGCCAACAGATGAGTTCCGATCCCTAAGAAATCGGTCCGTAGAGGTCTACGTTCGTCCTGAAAATGGTATCTGATGCAAAAACCACGTCACGCCTGCATTTTAGACATGTTCAGGACTTCCAGGCAGTCTAAGCATCAATATAGGATACAGGAACACACATAAAGTTAGACAGTCAAGTAGAGCGATAATGCTGTGCCAAGACTGCACCCCCCAAAAGGGCATATAACCTTGAGCTAAAATTGTCTCAGTTAGTGCGCATCGTGGCTGATGTTATATCTAGTAGAGATGAGCGTTTAATAGTGAGCATTTACTCGAAAACTGATGCGGCTAACAGGGTAGCGATTGGTGGTGAAAAGTGCCGAGACACCCAGGCATGCGGCCCATCATATGAGGACATTGTCGGAATCTGGCTCCAGAAATGGTACGCAGGGCTTAAGTAGGCCCGTTATTACTAGGGATTCGAGGGCTAACAGACTTTTGAGTGCCTGTAGTGTTTTGTCTGAGCTCTGCTTAATTTCTTATAGCGGAAGTTTCTTGCTGACAGGATGACCACGACTGTGTGTGTTCTTTCGAGCCCAACCCGCACTTATACGTAAACTTCGCATGTACAGTCGAGATTTTCGATGATTCCAATCACTTCACCGGCAGGCACGTACTCGGGAAGCATATCCAAATGTATGATGGGGTCCTGGGCACCACCTGAAATCCCACTAGGGCCTGAAGGGTTGTTTCTACTAAGCAGCCCGACGGATTAATGTTCGAACAGGTATGCGACTGGTTCCTCAAGTGCAATCCCATTTTTTTTTCAATGTACTGAAGTGGCCTGCAGGCCTAGGCATAAACAAGTAGAAAGTCTATCTGTTGCATGGCGCATCATTTGACTAGACTTTCGATGTTTAGGGTAAAATTACGGGGTTCATCGAGAACGGATCTCCCAACATTCAGATACTCCCACAAATTTAGAAGTGAGTAGGTACTGCGTACAACTAGACGAAAGTGCTCTGACCCAGTGCTGCGAGGCGGCCTGGATGTGTCCAACACCTGCAATGGACTTCCGAGAGTAGATCGAATATGAGGGTAATGAGTTCGTGCTGTATCCCGAAGAGCTTCAAGCTCTATGCAGGGCTCTGAGAATGCGATTGGAGAAGTCTTCCCCGTTGCAATACATGGAAGGGCCACACAGAGGCAGATCCAGGCTATCACGCAGCGGATGGTGTAGAAACTGAACAGTGAAGACTTGGCATACCTCCTCATCCCAGCATTTTTTTGGCTACCGCTAAATTAATATGCGCAACACCCTCTTAAGTGCACATGCTGAGTGATATGTAGTATTTCGAGTCTGGCAAAAGCAGTCTTGAGTGCTTCAGAGAACCCAACGTCACCACCGTTTACGGAAACATGACGCAGGTGGATGGGAAGGATTGCGTAAGTACTGACCAAAAGGAAGACCTACTGACATCTTCATCTGCGCTACCACTACTAATAACCCAAATTGTTCCATTGATCTCGGCCCTATCTGCCCTATTGCGAACGGTCTGGTGATATTCTTTATACTGCTATAGACCGCGTATACGTCTAATTTTATGAAATGTCGACTAAAGATGGATATCCGCTCCTTTGACGACTTTGAAGTGGAGTACAAAGGGCAACGGTTTGTGTGTTTTTGAGAATGGCTCATCATAGACGGAAGTAAATCGGAATACTTAGCAATCATCAGTCCTCGCTATCGAGGAAGCTCGTAAGCGACGTGAAGGTGCATGAGGAAATGAATCTGAAGATACTGAAGGAGACTAATGTGAGTTTGCTGCAACACTGAGCAGAAAAGCGGGGCTCTCTAAGTATAAACCGCCTTAGTTTCTGGGCTTTGAGCTGTACTTATCGCGTCCAAGTCTGCCTTGTCAAGTGACGTTGCAAGCGAGGGGAGGGGATCACGTACTTAGTCACGCAGTATGTGTCAAGCCCTTCCCCTACCTAGATTGGTCCGCTTGAGTATAGAACTGAGGGTTGCCCTGAATTGTGCTAGAACAGGCAAATCGTCATCACTCGACGTTCGGCTCATTCCAACATGGCACATACTCAGTTCCTCGGGAAGCACAACGCATCCTCAATCAAGGCATCTTTGAGAACCCACGGCTAGCGCATAATGTACCGGAAGGCGCTGCCAAAATCGCGGCCAGATCGATTAAGATCAAGGGTACGGACAAGCCCAGCATCCCCATCAATTGGCGCTTCGCCGAGAGTGTGGCTGCTCTCAAGGCCTACGAGGCCTCTGTGCTGTCTCTTCTCATCCGGAAAAAGTACCACACGGATGCAGGCGAGATAGTCATTGATACGTGAGCAAGTCTCCGACTATTTGAAGTCTGTCTGTTTCCGGGCTCCGACTCTGACACGATTAGCGATCGAGCAAGCCTCTTCTTTATGACACCCGTGATCGCGCAGATCGTGGGCGAAGATGGCAATCGCAAACCCTTAAGCCCTCTCCATTTTACCCACCAAAACATTATACCCAACCATGACAAGCACGATAGTATGGATATGTACCGCGGCCTCGCGACGAATGTCTATCGCACGAGAGATGGCCGCTACTTTCATATCCATGGGAGCATGAATGCCACTCCAACCCTTGCAGCCCTTGGTCTTCCCTCGCATGATCCATCTCTAAAAGACCGCGCTGCCATCGTTGACCGTATTGGCGCTGAAGTGGAAAAGTATACCGCTGCGGAGATTGACGAGCTTATGAACGAGAGGTACAAACAAGCAGGGTGTATCGTCCTTACTAAGGACGAGTACTTGAACTCTGAGTCCGGCAAGTCCAATAAAGCGGCGGGCTTTTATGAGACGATCAAGGTAGACGACCATCCCGCCGCGTCCTGGTGGCCCGAAGACGCCTCAAAACCATCATCGGCTCGGATGCCACTGGCTGGCCTCAAAGTCGTGGACCTCACCCGCGTCATCGCCGGCCCATCCATCACTCGATTCCTCGCAGAGATGGGCGCGTCGGTCATGCGTGTTACTGGCCCAGACGTTGCGGATTTGTCGGCTGTACACCACGACCTCAACTGGGGAAAGTGGAACTGCCACCTTGACCTCGGACGGGACGAGGATAGGGAGAAGCTGTGGGAGCTCATTCGGGAGGCAGACGTGGTGGTTGATGGGTATCGCCCCGGCGTCATGGAGCGGCGCGGCTTTGGGCGCGACGCCGTGTTCGACCAAGTCCGCAGGCAGGATAGGGGCAGGGGCATCATCTACGTGCGAGAGAATTGCTACGGTTGGCACGGGCCGTGGATACACCGTAGCGGATGGCAACAGATCAGCGATGCCTGCTGTGGCATCTCCATGGGCTTTGGGCGAGCCATGGGGTTGGACGAGGCCGTCACGCCTGTGTTCCCCAACTCGGATTTCTGTACAGGCATCCTGGGATGCGTCTGCGTGCTGCATGCCCTCATTCGTCGGGCCGAGAGTGGAGGATCCTACGGCGTTGATGTAAGTCCATTATTGCTGCTGACCATACGCAGTGACAACACACACCAACGTCAAGTTTTCTAGAATAGGTGTAATTTTCGTTAAATATATACAAATCCCTTACAAGAAACTAATTATAGCAAGTTTTAAGACGTGCAGCGTGCGCGCTGTGGAGCTATAAGCTATAAGAGCAGATAGTTGAGACACGTCTTACACTCAAAAACAAAAACACACAGACCACTCTGCTTAGTAATAAGAGAACCCCAGCAACAGAAT